AGAGGAGCAGAAGCAGCAGATGATGAAGGAGAAGCTGGAGGAGATGAACAGACACATCTCAGCTCTTTCACACACAATCAAAGACACGGAGGATGAAAGCCAGCGATGCCTGCTTTCTGAAGGTGACAACTGTATTTAGCTTCAATGTTTGTGCAAAAAACAACCTGCAAATTACACAACCAGTGATCGAACTCTTAATTTGTACAGAGAGAATATGAACTGTTATGAGTGTTTGATGATATATTAAAATGTCTTTCAAACTCTACATTTTCCAGAACTTTAGCATCACTTATATAATCACTGCACAACTTCCCCTCTGAGGATCTTACCAGTTAAACTGATCGTAACAACAGAAAATCACAGTTAAATCTCATTCTGCTTTTAGATTAATCAAGGTACACGAATGTGTTGTTTTCATTCTTTTGCATTTTATGGTTCAATAACACTGTAATCAAAGGAAAAGGGTTCTCATTCATCAACAAAAAAAATAAACTCAAACTGTCGTTCAAGATATTCAGAATTGAATTTTCTGATTTCTTATTGTTTTGTACTGTATTATCGAAAAAGAAAAAAATTATTTGATTGATTGTGATTGGTGTTAAACTCAAATATGAATGTGTTTGTAGCGTTGGGGAGTAACAACTGAGTAGAGGATCCAAACAGAATCAGATCAAAAGACCGGCTCCAACACACCTGCCTGTAATGTTCCAGTAAAGCTGAATGTCTATTGTAGATTATTATAATTGTTTAATTACAGTCGTTGAACTCTGAGCAGAGTTGGCTACAGAACCTCAGGAACAGTCTCTCTGTGTGTGTTATAAACTCCCGATGGTGGACAGGCTCATGCAGTGCACTCTTAAAAATAAAGGTTGCTTGTTGGCATTGATGCTTCCATAAAGAATCTTTCAGGTCCAAGAAACCTTTCCATTGCACAGAAGGATATTTATAGTGGAAAAATGTGCTTCACAAACCTTTTGGAACCTTTATTCTTAAGAGTGTTTAGAGGAAGATGTTAGGCTTCATCAAGCTGAAGAACGCGCAGTGAGACATGGAAGGTCGGTGTGATGCGGTAGTGAGTAGGAAGTTCAAGCCTGTATGTTACGCCGTTGATCTGCCTCCGGATGGTGAATGGTCCGATATAGCGGGGACTCAGCTTGCGGCAAGGCAGTCGGAGACGAATGTCCTGCGTGGATAACCACACCCTATCTCCCGGATGGTATCAGGGAGTAGGGCGGCGGTGAACATCGGTCTAAGCTTGGTGTCTCCGAGCTGCCTGCTGGAGATGGACATGCGCTGAGTCCCAGACCCTCTTGCTCTCTCTGAACCAATGATCCAGCACTGGAACGTCTGAGGGTTCTCCGGTCCACGGGAATAGGGGAGGTTGGTAACCGAGTACGCACTGAAACGGGGTGAGGCCGGTGGTTTGCTGTCGAAGGGAGTTTTGTACATACTCGGCCCAGGGAAGGTAGAGGCTCCAGCGGATCTGGTTGTTGTGGCAATAGCTACGGAGATATCTCTCGATCTCTTGGATCTTGCACTCAGTCTGGCCATTGGACTGTGGGTGATATCCGGAGGTGAGACTTACTGATACGCCGAGGAGATGGAAGAAGGCCCTCCAGACCCGGGAGATGAACTGGGGCCCACGATCGGAGACGATATCCTCCGGGATGCCGAAAATTGCGAAAGACTTGGTGGAATAACTGTTTTGCGGTTTCCATGGCCGTGGGTAATTTTCTGAGTGGGAGAAGTTTACATCATTTTGAGAATCGGTCGACAACTACGAGGATACAGGTGTGAGATTCGTACTCGGGAAGATCGGTGACGAAGTCGACTCCGATGTGGGACCAGGGCCGGTGAGGTATGGGAAGTGGTACCAGCTTGCCTTGTGGCAGGTGACGGGGAGATTTGGTGATGGCACAGACTGAGCATTCTCGGACAAAGCGCCTGACTTCTCGTGCCATAGCGGGCCACCAGTAGCGAGTTTCAAGTAGCAAGAGGGTTTGCCGGAGAATAGTGTAGCGAGTCCAGAAGGGTATTGCGTAGAGTGGATGGAACATAGACCTTCCCTTCAGGACCTCCCGGCGGAGCTGGTTCGGAGTGGGTGGCTTGATGGATCTCTTCGTCGAGCGTCCATTGGATGGGACCTACAATGAGGGCTGGAGGGAGAATGGTCTCCGGGGGTATCAATCGTTCCGTGGCCTGAGGACGGCGCGACAGAGCGTCTGCTCTGGTGTTCTTGGGTCCGGGCCGGTAGGTAACAGAGAACTGAAAACGGGTGACGAACAGTGCCCACCGTGCCTGACGTGGGTTTAGACGTTTGGCCTCCCGAAGATATTCCAAGTTCCGATAGTCAGTGATGACCTGGAAGGTATGAAGAGCTCCCTCCAGCCAATGTCTCCACTCCTCCAGAGCGAGTTCGATGGCGAGAATCTCGCGGTTCCCGATGTCATATTTTTGCTCCGCCGGGGAAAGATTGCGGGAGAAGTATGCACAGGGATGGAGGATAGGAGGCTCTCCTGAATTCTGGGAGAGCACCGCTCCCACCCCTTCTGTGGACGCATCTACTTTCACGACAAATGGTCTCTGAGGATCGGGAAGCGTGAGGGCAGGAGCGGTGCACAAGGCTTCCTTCAGTCCTTCAAAACTTTGGATGGCAGAGGGCGTCCAGGACAGAGACTTGGGCTTATTACGGAGCATAGATGTGAGGGCGGCTGTGTGCTGACTGAAGTGGTGGATGAAACGACGGTAGAAATTTGAGAATACTAGAAAGCGTTGGAGTTCCTTAATGGTCCTGGGTTGTGGCCAGTTGTGAATGGCTTGGACCTTCTTGTCATCCATCTGGATACCCTGAGGACTGATGACATATCCGAGGAACTTGATGGTGGTAAGGTGGAACTCGCACTTCTCCAGCTTGAGATAGAGGTGGTACTTTCTCAGCTGTTGTAGGACATGCTCCACGTGGTGGCGATGTTTGGCCAGGTTCCAGGAGTAAATGAGAATGTCGTCTATGTAAACGATCACAGAATGATGGAGGAACTCCTGGAACACCTCGTTCATGAATCCCTGGAATACGGAAGTTGAATTGGATAGGCCATACGGCATAACGCAGTATTCATAGTGTCCGGTGGGCGTGATGAAGGCGGTCTTCCACTCGTCACCATGGCGGATACGAACAAGGTTATAGGCGCTTCGCAGAACCTTGGCGAAGATACGAGCTCCACGAAGTTCCTCTAGGGTGGCCGGCACCAGTGGAAGGGGATACGGATATTTCACTGTTTGTGAGTTGAGAGTTCGGTAATCAATACAAGGCCGCAAGCCTCCATCCTTCTTGCCCACAAAGAAGAAACTGGATGCAGCCGGTGAAGTGGAGGGCCGAATGAAGCCTTGCTGGAGAGCCTCCTTAATGTACTCCTCCATCACTCCTTGCTCCGGGATGGACAAAGGGTACACCCTATCCTTAGGGAGTTGAGCTCCAGGCAGCAAATCTATTGCACTGTCCCATGGCCAATGAGGTGGTAGTTTTGTCGCGGCCCGCTTGCTGAACACATCCTGAAACACCCGGTATTCACTGGGAATGCTGTGAGGTTCCGTGGGTTCAGGGCTCTCGTTGGAGGTGGCACAGACCGGGAGGAAACCAGGTGACAGAGAAAGAACTTGGGACATACAGTGCTGCCGACAGTACTCACTCCAGTGTATAACTTAGTTGGTGGTCCAGTTAATGATGGGTGCGTGTTGGGTTAACCAGGGGCGTCCCAGGATGATCTCCGTTGTGGAATTCTCTAGCACCCGAAAAGAGATGAGTTCCTCATGAAGGCACCCAATGCGGAGTGTGATGGTGGGGGAGCATAGCTGGATCTTCCCACGATCCAATGGCTTTCCTTGGATGGTGAGGATATTAAGGACATGGGCTTGTTTCAGCGGTCGTGGTTGAAGTCGTTGGAGTGTGTTACGGGATATGAAGTTCCCCGAAGAACCAGAGTCTACCAGGGCTTGCGCTGAAAGGGATTGGTGAGATGACATTAATGATACATTCATTCTAGTCAAGGTAGCAATTTGAGGGCTGAGCTGGATAGTACTCACCGAGGGTCGTGAGGGACGGATAGGACACGAGCGAATCAAGTGTCCCTGCTCCCCACAATACAGACATAGTCCAGATGTAATCCTCCGTGAACGCTCCACATGGGTGAGATGGTACGAATACACTTGCATGGGATCGGGGGTGCTGGAGCCGGTGAGGCGGATGTGCCTGGTGAGGCGAGTGGCTGGACCTGGGTACAGGCCAGGAGATGTTGGGAAATCTTGATAGCCTTTTGGATGAAACTCTCCAATCCCACTGTATCGTCAAATATCACCATTTGGAGGCGAATGTTGGCGTTCAGCCCTTGCCGGAACGCGGTCAGTAAGGCCACCTCATTCCATCCACTAGTCACCGCCAGAGTGCGGAATTTGATGGCATACTCGCTCACGGAGGCCTTGCCTTGACTGATGCGGAAGAGCTGGTCATCAACGGAGATTTCAGCCGCGGCGTGACTAAACACCTCCTAAAGTAGATAGAGTGCGAAAGGCCTGACTGTTACTCTCCCACATGGACTGGGCCCAGTGAAGAGCGCGGCCGGCGAGATGAGAGATCATGAAGGCAACTTTGGCGCGATCATTGGGAAAGGCTTGTGACTGCATCTCGAAGTATTGGGAACATTGTAACAAGAAGCCACCACAATGCGCCGCCTCACCGGAGAAGATAGCGGGCTGTACCATGGGACTGTGGGAGGCAGTCACAACGGGTGTACGGAAGGCTTGGAATAAATCCTCCAGTAAAGTGGGGTTCTGTGGTTGTGGCTCCATGGAGAGTTTGGGGTAGGTCTGGTCTTCTGTCACAGTACAGAATGAGACCAAGGATGGAGAGATAACGTTAACAGGGTTCTTTATTGAACAGGGGATGAGAGAAGAGATGGAGAACAAATGGGTTACATTCCCAACGTTCCATTGCAGCAGCAGCAGCCCTACACTTCCTCCATTCTGCAGTCCACTAGCTTCTAGCTGTCGCTATGGAAAATATCAGCTGCTTTGTTTAAAAAACAAGCATTTAAGCTGAAATACACAACCTGAATGATGACAACAATAACGTACCATCAAGTGATCATCAAATCCTTTAAACAATTTATTTTACAGACTCTGTGTTTAAGTCTTCCCTTTTTTTTCACAAAACCTCTCTAGAAACCATGTCAGTTTCGGTTGAAATTATTTTAAGTTCAAGTATTAGCATTATAAACACTGAATTAGTACCAACATAAGAAATTAAATTAATGACAGAAAAATTAGGAATGTTGAACAATAAATATATAACAGGAATATAACACCTTGACAGTACTGTTTTTGCAGTATTGTCTTATATTAATGTACGTTAAAGGAAGGCTGTAAACAAAAAAACTTTTTATGCAAAAAAACAAAAAAATTGTAGTCACTGTCTCCAAAATTATTGAATTATGACAATTAGGAATGTTGAACAATAAATATATAACAGGAATATAACACCTTGACAGTACTGTTTTTGCAGTATTGTCTTATATTAATGTACGTTAAAGGAAGGCTGTAAACAAAAAACTTTTTATGCAAAAAAACAAAAAAATTGTAGTCACTGTCTCCAAA